CAAAACACCACAATCTCCATTTTACATATGAACTTGATAAAAGACTGTTTTATTCATCCCTCTTAGCAGAACTACATTATTGACTCTTATTCTTTGCAACACTTCTTAATGTGGGAACAAAAAGAAACATTTAAACACACTGTTAGATTTTGGTAAGTAAGAAAATAGATTGAAAGTCCATTCTGATTTTCAGGAAGATCTATGCTGTACATGATGTGAATATTTAGGCACATTTCATCCCCACCAGCCTTCCACATTCATCGTTAGGTTTGATATGATTTTACCAGTGAATATATTTGAATTTTTTTCTGTCTTACAAATTTTATGTTCCTCTTGCTGTTTTCCTCTCAGTCATTGTTGGCTTCTGTTAGGGTGCAACATAAGGTCATTGCAGAAACTTAGGGAATAAGAAAATATGCTTTTTTAACTTAGAGAATGAATGCAGATATAAAAGCAATGGGTTGGCTGTCTTAATAAAAGAGTAGCTCTGAGAGAGCACGGCAGCGATGTATGTATATATGTCTATATCAGAAGTATGTCATGTACTTGTACTATGATTTCTATGAAAACGTCGGCTTCCATGTTGTAGAAACAGGAAAGAAGTCTGGTTTTAAAATTGAAAAGACAAAAAAGTTCTCAAGTTCCTATTGGTTTTAATACTACTGCACACTAGGACCTATTTCACAGCTCTCATCTGTTAGAAAACCAGTGAAATGAGTCTCTCCTTTTGGGCAATTTAAAATACCTGGTAAAGAGACTAATAAGAAACATAAAGACTCCATCTAGTTTATTAATGGCACATATTTTATTCCTCCCCAGGGTAACACCTACAGCTCTGGCATGATAGAACAAGATGTGAAGATAAAAGCATTAATAGTTAGTTCACATGTCAACCTTTGGGGCTGATCTTGCATCAAACAAAATGTTAAGCTTTTTTTTTTTTTAATAAATAATTTAAAAGAACTCCACGAGGAAAAGAGTTTTGACTGAAGTAAAACATCTCAAGGAATGATTAGTGCTTTTTTATTTTTGTTTTTTAACTACTGGCCTAGAAAATGAGGAATTGTGTTACGTTCAGATATTAAAATATCATCATAATATTGTTCATTGTTGATGCTTCTGCACATTGTTGATGTTGATGCATATATATTATATAGACATATAGTTAGATTTCCAAATCTGACTCAAAAATACATTTGCAACACTGATGCAAGAAACATCTGAACAAAAAGCACAATTGAATAATTTCTGCAGCAGTGTGCGAAAATTCAGTGTTTCACTAATTAATTAAGAAAATGAGAAGGAAAAGCAGTTCCAAGTAATTATTTTTAATTAATTGTTCCTGCCTGTTGCTACAGAGGACAAGGGACATACTGCTTTTTTTTGCACAGAAGACATGTGTAAGCCATTCAGGTCCTGCAGCATTAAATTGTGGCTTAACACATCTTGATAGGACAAGTCATAAGAAGTTATCTGCCAACAGGGAGCACACAACTGGATGTATTCTCGGTCTTAATTTCTCCTCTTGTTGACACAGCTTTCATTAAACCAGCTAATTCTGCTTTGTTTTATTAGGTGGGTTTTTTTCAGAGCAGTTTTACTGCTTGTATTTTTAAAATTAGTCAGCCCCTGTGGAGGTTGAGGCTGGCCATGTCCTGCTTTGGTCCTTCAGTTTCCAGCGCACTGCTGCTATCCCATCTACATTGTGGGTAAAAAGGTGGTTAAGTAAGGGGAAAGAAAAGCTAAATTTGTTTTCCCCTCTACACTTCTGTAAATCTGTGGCAGCTTTAGACAGCCGGACATACCTCATATTCGTATATACTGGAGGATTGTTTGTGGGCAGCTGAGCCCCACACAGCTGCTTACTCACTCCTCCCCGGTGGGATGGGGGAAGAGAATCAGAAAGGTGAAAGTGAGAGAACTTGTGGGTTGAGATAAAGACAGTTTAGTCGGGAAAGCAAAACAAGGAATTTGTTCAGCACTTCCCATGGGCAGGCAGGTGTTCAGCCATCTCCAGGAAAGCAGGACTCCATCACACGTAACCGTTACTTGGGAAGACAAATGCTCTAAGGCCAAACGTCCTCTCCTTCCTTCTTCTTCCCCCAGCTTTATATGGTGAGCATGACACCATATGGTATGAGATATCCCTCTTGTCAGTTGGGGTCAGCTGTCCCAGCTGTGTCCCCTCCCAGCTTCTTGTGCACCCCCAGCCTCCTCGCTGGTGGGGTGGGGTGAGAAGCAGAGAAGACCTTGATGCTGTGTGTATGCTGCTCAGCAATAGCTAAAACATCAATGTGCCATCAACACTGTTTTGGTCACAAATCCAAAACATAGCCCCTTACAAGCTACTATGAAGAAAATTAACTCTATCCCAGCCAAAACCAGTAGAAAGGTCAAAAAAGAAAAGCAGTTTCTTAGCACTGTAGAATGGTGAATGTGGATTGCTGGAAAATGAAACAGAGCTAGGGATTTTTACATGAATTTTACACAGATGAAAGCATATCCAGTCTTACACAGATGAGAGAATTTTGAACGCCACGTTGGTCTGCAGCTTGCAAAGGACTTAGATGAATTACCAACCAAATTATTGAAATTCAAACTCAGAAGTGGATATACACTGACTAGCACCATTTTCAGTAGTTCCCCATTTCCTAGAATGCTTTCTTTGCATAAAAATTGTATTAGAAGAACACTTTGTTGTAAGTACTCTTCATCATCCTCTCTTTCAACCTAAGAATTACATTATAACTGTGATTCTAAACCATGTATTGGGTCACCCCTAACTAAATATATTCCAACTTGTGACAAATACTGTCATCTTTATGTCCTAAGGAGGAGTAATTAAAGACTCTTGAGCTATAAGATGTATAGTTGCCAGTAAGTAAAGTGTCAGCATGGGAATCTTTGGCATACTGCAGGTGTATAGTCCATATAATTTTCCTAAAGCTATTGCTGTTCTGCCAGTCATGAGTTTGATCATTTGAGAATTGGAGGGTTTGATACTGGCATGGCACGTAGCACTTAGGGAATATGCTACTTTCAAGAAGGGCTGGTTTGCTAGGTTTATGGGCTGATAGTCTTACGGGTTTTCGTCAGGAATAAAATTGCACATACTTTTATTTTCTAGGATAGTATGGGTTCTTTTTTATGCTATTTCAGATTGATATTGTTGATGAAGCTTTACTCAGTATGAGTTAGGATTTTTACAGATTTTACAATACATCAGGTTTCATGCTTGATTTTTTTTCAGGGTTTTGGTATTGAAGTTTTATACTATTTAAATCTGTGTTCTAGGTAAAAGGAAAGGAAAACAATGGGAATATGCAATATATTTATTGAAATATTTCTTTCTAAAAGTTCCTCAGATGCAAGGCAATATATAGACAGAAACACTTATAATCAGCTTGGAAGAAAGTAAGCAACCTAAACTTTTTGACCATAGGTTCCTGTAGATTGAAATGACACTTTGCAGATTTTAAATAGTATGAAAATGAAGCTTGTTTCTGGAGAGAGTGCTACAGGTGTTTAGTGTTTATAACAGTGCAATTAGGCTTCTGGGTATTTTTGAGATACTGAGAGCCCACTGCTAGCAGTTTCAGTGAAAGTGGGCAGTGCTGGAGCTGTCCTCATCTTTTGAAAGTTCCTGGGTGTTAATTCTCGGAAGAAAGGATCCCAAATGACCCATTGTCCTGGTCTGGCTAAACCAGGACTAGTTCTCCTTTTAGTAGTTTTTCTTTCAGTTAAAGAAAACTGAAAGAAAAGCAGTTTCTTCCTGCCTCCAATCACGGTCCGTGCATTCCTGGTTCAGGTTCCTGTTGGCTGTGAAGTCCGGTCTGGGACATCCATGTGCCTGCCCTGTGGCGACAGCAGCACAAGCAGCTGCAGCCAGCAATTCCCCGACCATCATCGGGAAGTTCAGTGTATTGGTTTTGTATATTTTTCCTTTATTTCTATTATTAGTGGTATTAGTGTTAATATTATTATACTCTTTTTCACTGTTATGGTTTTATTAAAGTAGTTTTAATTTCCAGCCTGTAAGTCTCTCTCCCTTTTCCTCTTTCTTTCCCCTCCCAGGGGAGGAAGGTGTTAATAAAGAGCATCTGCCATCTGCTTTAAGAACCAGACCAGCCTTAAGCTGGAACACCCATTCAGGATGGTTCAATCCCTTTATTGCCAGTTCTAGCTGCAGATCACCACTTTCCTTGCCACTTTGACTTTTCAGATCCAACTGAATGAAGAATGATACTGCCCTGTTTTTTCTGCTTTTGTCTATCTTATAGGACCTCTGAGTCATCACCTTCTCAGAAACTCTTCTCTCTTATAACAGTTGAATTTAAAAAAATTCAATTAAATACTAAGGAGAGACAGCAGCAATAAATACAAAGAAGAAAGCTTTTTTACTAAAGGAGGTTTTCTATAAAAAGACATTGACTACTGGGATGTTGTGTGTCGATGAAGTCTTCCATAGCCCAGCTGGACCCAGAGTTGTTACTGTGCATGAGGAAAAGGATCTGGCAAAAGTTGGAGAGAAAGTCACAGTAGAGAAGTCAAACTTTGCCTGAAATGTCATCAGGAGCACATGTTTTGCTCTGATCCTGAAGTAGATCTGTTGACATTATGTGGTTCATATCCTGATCTTTCCTTATGATGTCTTTTTTTCTGATAGCTAATGGTCATGGTTAACATTTCCTAAACTGTCTTTTATGTTCATCTTACGATGTTTCTTAAAAAGCGTGTCTAATTCTTAAGATAAAAACTAACGTGTCTTGCAGATACTGAGAAGCAGTGGTAACTGCTCATGTTCCACCACTTGTAACAGATAAGTTGAGCAAAGTGATGGGGTTTGTATCTGTCCTTATATAGGTATTTGCAGTTCTGGTTTTCAACAGGCAGTTCCAAGTTTTTGATATGAATCCTATGTCCATATTGTGTCTGTCTTTTGGGGCTTTGAGGGTTCTTTTTGGTTTTTGTAAGTAAAATTTTGCATTGCCTTTTTGCAGGACCCAGCTAAGATTCTGAACACAAATAGCAGCAGCAGCAGTAGTAACAGTTTTTCAAAGACCCACAAGTTAACAAAGGAGCACAAGGAAAAAGCTTCTAAAGACTCAAAAGAACATAAAAGTGCCTTCAAAGAACCTTCCAGGGAACACAACAAATCTTCCAAAGAATCCTCTAAGAAACCCAAAGAGAACAAGCCTCTAAAAGATGAAAAAATAGTTCCTAAGATGGCCTTCAAGGAACCCAAACCCATGTCCAAGGAGCCAAAATCTGAAAACACCTCCATCCTTACCATAACAGGTGGGCAGCAGCAAGAAAAGAAGACCCCCACAAAAAGGCCCTCTGTTCTGGACTCTGATGAACCTTCTGCAAAAAAAAGAAAAAAAAGTGGCTCGGATTCATTATTTAAAAGCTTTTCTAGTGCCCCACCACTGATTCTTACTTGTTCGGCTGACAAAAAGCAGACAAAGGATAGATCTCAACTCAAGGTGGGGAGAGTCAAAATTGAAAATGATGCACTGGAAAGGAAGTCACTGACTCTGCCACCGTTTGATGATATTGTAGATCCTAGTGATTCTGACATGGAGGAAAACTTGTCCTCCAAATCTGAAGTAAGTGATGTTTGGTTTTGCTTCATATGTGTTGAGTATTCCCAGTCTGTGGGATTGTGCACCATATTTGTATTTTCCCCTTCCTTTCTCCTGTATACTGGCAGATTGTTCAAACTGAAGGATGTTGACTGCCAGCTGTTCAAACTTATGCATGTTCTAGTTGAATTGTATTGCCTATTCAAGTCTACTCAATTTGTAAATCTGTCAACATTATGATGAATAAGCATATGGGAGATGGCTATAAATAATATTGCTCTTTTGATTTTGTTCTTCTGAATGTCATGCTTCTTGTGAGAGAAAAGGATATTGATTTAAATGCTTGTATTTTACACCCTAAGTCTTTGTTTTCAGGCGTCAGAGAATTCAGTAAATTTAGGAAAGGGTTGCAGTAAATCAGGGTGTTATTTTTCTTCTAAAAAGGGCAGTTCTGTGAATGATGCCAGTTTTGTGGAGCAGGAGTTCATAGAATCCTTGCTCTGGTGAGAAGAATCTGTCTGAAGGAACAGGCTTACTCAAGAAGAAAGACTCATTTTATGGCAGTTTGCTTTCCTGAAAATATTTGTCTGCCATCCCTGCCTGAAAATATTTGTCTACCATGCCTGCTCATCTGTTTCAAGCATCGTTTGCTCTTGATAATTAGGATTTTAATCATTTTCCTAGCAGACTACAGTTTTCAGAAGCATCTTTAATGGAGAGATGAGAAGGAAAGAGGTTGGAAGAGAGAGCTTGTTGGATGCCTTTGTTTGTGCTTGTGGTAGTGTGCATGGTAGAGAGGAAGTCTTTCCAGCCATACCTGTTCAGTTCTCTCATTTTTCTGTTCTCTGTTGTGTGCCTCTGTTACTGCCATGAAATTTGTAGCCCTGCTTGCCCTCTCTGGAACAGACAATAAATACCCTGCTGTGGGGAGGTGTCAACATTAGGTTTTTACTTCATAGAAATTTGCCACAAGGGAGAAAGTAATTTATTTCTGCACTGACCTTTTTATGACTGGTCCCTTAGGGCATGCAAGGGCTGTAAAATTCAGAAGATGTGGAACAGGACAGGCTCTGCTTTATGGCATCATACTGGTGATACTGTGGTTGGGGTGGCATTCTCATTCTGGCTTAGAACTTATGCCTTTGTCTTTAAACCTGAAAATGTTCACACTGGTCAGCTTTGGTGTGAATTAATTTTTTGATGTCTTCAAAAGAAGGTGAATCTTCTGTTTTAATTTACATCAGTAACCTTAAGACTCACTACCTACCCTCAGTATAGCTAGCTAATTGGAATAGATTTTACATTTAGATTTCCTTTTCATTTAAGTAGGTGCCATGTAGTGGCACATACACTTATACTGGCAGAGGCAGTTCTCAATTTTTCTTCAAAGACAAAAAAATTCAGAGGGGCAACTGCAATGTAACTGGAATTTTACAAAGGCAGGAACTACAGAAGTGTATGCTGCGTACCAACTTGCAGATAACTGATATGTGAAGGATATCGATGGTGCTTAAAACCAATCCTTTTTAATTGTTGACATGTGTTTCCCTCTGTTGTTTTGCAGTCTCTCACCCATTACCAATGGTATAGTGGGTGGACACTTGTGTTTTTCATAGGATGACACAAATCCACTTGCACAGCTGTTTGTCACCCATTTGCAGTTGTCCTGCAGTACCTAAGGAATTCCTTAATTCTGTACTAAAGCAAAAAAGCAGATTCAGAGTTTTCTAGTTCTATGAGCCACTGTTACTGAGAGGGTAAACTGCTGGAGTCTGCTCAAAGAGAAGTATGTCCTGCTGGTCTGGGCTCTGATGTATTTTAATGTTGATGTCCTGGATCAGGGAACAGATAGGTCTTCAGTAGGAGGGCCAGTACAGTCCACATTTGTATGGATGAAGAGGATGTGTGCCACTTTGGGACTGTGCTCATTAATAAATCAGACTGAGTATGTCTCCAGTCAATGACTGGATACTGTTTAGAAAGTCAATAATACGCTTATTTTTAGAAAAGGTATCTAGAAAACCTGGAATAATTCCCTAAGGTGCCTGTGGAGTCACACCATTGTTAGGGCTGTGGGAGAAAGAGCTGGGCAGCCTGGTTAATGAGTGTCTGCAGAACTTCACGAAGATTCATTCCTTCTACACTTCATTAGTTTTAACCAGGGAGTCTAATGAAAGGTGACTGAGCAGTGTAATAGAGGTAATTCTGTATGTTGGAAAAAGTAGTTTGAACTTTTTGTATGTGTTGCTGAGTTTCTAAGCATTTCAGGAAAAAGAGGAGATTTTACAGCTAGGGTGAAGGATATATATAAAGGGTATATCCTGTAAATGTAATCACGTAAAAAAAAAAGTGAGAAGTTGCAGTGTTAAATGGAGAGTAATAAAGTGAAAATATGATAATACTTTTGCTATACAGGAATGATTATTTCAGGTCTATTAATGCTTCATGATACTAACCAACATAGTTGCCTGAAGCTGGGAAGATACTTCTTCAGTGGCATGTTCTAGCATAATAATATGCTATAAAATTCAGTGAAATGTTATTTCTTACTTTGGTACAGTAACAGTGGTAAGTATTGTAGCATTGGTAAACAAAGAATGTGTCATTATTTAGAAGTATATTAGGTAGTAAAATATCCAGGATTTATTTCTAAAGTGGCTTTAAAAAAGCAAAACCATAAAACCCAACTCAGCATATTTGGGTTAAATATAACAAGTCAGATTAAAAATCAATATCTAAAAGAAAATTCTTAGGATACCACAAAAATACTAACTTTGGGTCAAGTGCATTTTTTCTAGTTTAAGTTACATTTATGACATAGTGTAAACGTAATACTGTATGAATTGTTGTAATAAAATCATGAATAACTTTGCTAAAAATTTTGTGAGGACAGTATTTTCTTCACTCCATGGAGTAAGAGATGTTCTCATTCACAAACACATATGTCCCAAAATGGTGACTGTTTGCTTTCTTGGTATTAGCTGATATGCATCACTATGCATATCAAATACAAAAAATTTGTAATAAAAGGTGTAATGTAACAGAGCTGTCTGTATCTGCTCTGTACCTAAGGTTATATTACTTCACCTAGAATTGTTTTAGTTGTGCTTCTATATTGTACAGAGAATTCGGTGTGTCAGTAGATGCACAAAAACGAGTAGTTTCTGTGTGCATTTCTTCAAAAAAAAAAAGTTTGGGGGAGGTTAGAGATCTTTATTTCAGAGCTTTTGGAGGAATCTTCCCTTGGCAAATATTCATTGCTTCTGAATTTTGCCCATTAACTCATTTTTTTATATGTGAGAAGCAAGCTAAGAAGTGGGACTTCAGCAAACAGTGCTGGCACTATCTCTGGAAATTTGTCCAAGCCGCCACGTAGTAGAAGTAGGTGAACTCGTACTGCTTTTATCAGACATATTCACCAGAAGGTACAACTTCCTGCAAAAGTAAGTTTCTTCCTATTGCTGGTCAGACCCAAGACTGTTTTGAGAGCTAGTTGATCCATGATCATTTCTCAGTTGCAAAGGCTAGGTTCGGGTTTTTAAATTAAGGGTGGCGTTCTGAGAAGTCCTCGTGGTAAAGGAAGCTGGCAAGCATGATTAAACAGAGGTACTGTTTCACTGGGTAGGTGCTACAGGAAGGCAATGCGGCTGCTCCCTTGATTTTTCAGATACAGCCCATGTTCAGTGACTCGAGGTGAGGTGTATCCCTTCAATTAAGGTGCTTTAATTTCATACAGAAGAGCAGGGTGTATGTCCTGGTTTGGCTAAAACAGGACTATTTCTCTTTTTAGGAGTTTTTCTTCCGTTAAGTTTCTTCTACGTAACTGCACTTT